TCGTGTCATCCCCGTGTACCCGCCCTTGCAACACGGGTGTGTGTGGGGGCCGGGGGCCAGGGTGGGAGAGGAGGGTGGTGTTGGATGGGGCAGGGATGTCCCGTGGTGTGACAGCTAGGATTCAAATCCCTGGAATGTGTCTGAGTAAACAGGAAGGACAGGAGGCCCCACACCCTTCGGGGTGAGCAGCCTCCCTGGGTCCCCTGCATTCTAGCAGATTCTTCCTCCCTCCCTCCTGTCTCTTTCCAGGACAAACAGCGGAGCTGGGGCCAGAGGGCTGTGAGCCAGAAAGGAGGGGCCAGAGTGGAGAAGGGGGTGGTGTTTGGAGGGGAAGGGGAGGTTGCGGAGCATCTTTCAGCCCTGAACTGGGGGACACTGAGACTTGAGTGTCCAGTGGAAAGAAGAGGACAAGAGTGGGTCCGGCAGAAGAGGCTGTGCTTTCTAATTAGGAGGAAGGGGAGCAGGACCAAGTGTGAGGCGCCACGGCTCACTCAACCTGTGGGGATCCCCATCAGCAGCTCCTGTCCAGCAGCGCCTCTGGCCCCGCCCTGCAGGAGTGTCCTGGGTCAGCTGGAGGGCTGGGCCGGTTCTGGGCTCAATGCCCAGATGACTGGACAGGGGCCACCTAGGCCACAAGCCCAGGCCTGAAGGAGCGGGGAAGAAACTCACATGTCCAGCCAGGCTCCCCCATCCCCATTACTGTGTTTGGGGTGAAAACAGACTGAGTAACTGTGGCAACCTGGAACTAGGGCTCCCAGGAACTAGGCCTGTCCTCCCTCCAGAGGCAGCCCGGCTCCTCAGCTAGCACTTCCTGTCCCAAGATCCCTCGAGCCTTGTTGAGCCTAGCCAGGCCGTGAATGCAAAGAGAACGAGGGTTTGGCGGCAGATGACCGGAGTTGGCTTTTCATAGTGGATGTCCTTGCTGTGTAACTTAAAACACCCTAAGCCTTAGTTTTCTCATCTGTAAAACGGGATACTCCTACCACTGCTTAGGGTTGGTGTGAGGACAGAGACGATGCTCCCAGTGCCTGGTCCTTAGCAGACACACCTTTCCCTCATCCCTTGCCCCTTTCTCCATTTACAATGTCCTTTTTTCTCTAGTTTGCTTGCGTCCTTCTGGGCCCATCACTGTTTCATCGTTGTCTTTCCTGACCCCCAGTCAGGAAAGTGCTTGAAATGTTGGCATCTCAGACTGGGGGCTCTGGAGTGGGGCTCACAGCTCCTCTGGCTGAGTGGCAAGGGACAGCTGGCACTTTGGTGTGAACTGGGAGTCAGATTCTCTTGGCTGAGGGAGCGGGGTAGAAAGGATAAGAGGCGTGGAGAGTGGCTGTGCCATGGGGCTGAGGCAGGGCAGTCTCTGGGCTGCCGCCCTGTGCGCCCCGAGACCTCCAGCAGCAGCCTCTACCAAGGCCACCTCACCATGGCAGCTGTTGTTTCTCCTGCACCTCCTGTTGGCCCTTCCTGTCCCAGGCCCTCCTTTTCTTTCTGTTCTGCTACTTTCCTTCCTCAGGATCCTGCCTTTTGTTCCTCTTACTACTGACCTGTCTCTCCCTGCGTCTCTTCTCTAGGTTTCTTTCTGACTTTGCCCTCTACCCCACCGTGAGTCATCACCTCCTTTTGACCCATTATTCTTTGTGCATCTTTTTGTTTCTTGCTGCTTTGGTGTTTTTTCCTTCCTCCCCTCTGCTTCAGTCTCTTTTCCCTTTCTTTTTTCTCGGTCTTCTCATTTCCTGCTGCTGGTGACCCTGTCCTCACTTCCTCCCTTTTCGTGCCACCCTGTGCCCGGTTCCTTTCCACTGCTCTGCCCTCTATTCTTGTCCCCTCTCCATGACTTCCTGTCCTCCTGCTTCAGCCCTCCCCCCCTCCGTCCTCCCCCTTCTTCCTTCACTTCCCCACTCCAGTCCCCTGTGCTCTCCCCAGCTGTGAGGCCAGGACTGGAGAGCCTAACATTTGCCTCATCGTTCTGCTATGGCTCTGGATGCGGCACATCTGGATTCCGGGACCCAGATGTGTGGTTGCCACAGCGACCTTGGTCCCTCTGGTAAACACGGGCGCCCACCCGCCCCAGAGCACAGAACAAAACAATTGTATGACCTTCTTTTGTCACGAGATAGAAATGTCCTCCCTCCTCCCTTCTCCCCACACCCATGTCTCCAGGCAAAGGAAGTTCTAAGGGTCCAAACCTTTCTTCCTGTGGCCCTCTTGCCCCCTTCCTGCCCGAGCCTCGTGTTTCATCTCAGGTTCAGCTTTTTCTCTCCAAGTTCCCCTCCTCACCATCTCTCAGCCCGAAATCTCAATGATGCTCTGTTGACCCCCTGCCAAATACTTGGCAGCTTCTCCTAACTGGGTCTGTATAATAATGATGCAGAAAGAAGCTTCAAAAACCCAGGTCACCACCCTTCCTTCTCACGCCCTTCCAGAAGCCTTTGCATTTGTTTCTGTCTTAAGCCTTCAGTCTGTCCAGGGCTCTTCTTCAGGGAGGGGAGAGAATACAGGCTTGGGAATCAGACAACCTGGGCAGAGGCCCACTGTCACCACCACCAGCAAAGTACCTTGGACGTGTCACTTAATGTTCCCGAGCCTCCGTTTCCTCAGCCTTGTGGCCGCAAAGCCGGATTAATAAAGTGCCCACACTGTGTGGGAACGTGCTTTGTAATCGGAAGCCCAGCACAAATGTGTTGTCTTTCGCCTCTGGGACTGCTTCCTTGGATCACGGCTCCTGGCCTGTCTTCCGCCCCTCCCTCGCCTTATCCTTCAGGTCCTTGCCCTTAATTACCCTTACTCTTCTTTGTCTTCCTTCCCTTCTCCCTTGTCTTTCCCTTTTTTCCCTTTCTGTGTCTTATCACTTATCCTCTTGAGGTCAGGACAGGAACTTGGAGGTTCATTCAAGGATGGAAGCCTGGAGCTGAAGACACCTGGACTGAGGAGTCAGTGAACAGTCAGACCATGTGGACAGTTCTCGACAGCACCCAACCTTTCTACATGTCACCCGGGACACCTCAGTGACGGCGACCCCGCTCTAACCCCGAGGCTTCCCTGCCTTCACGCCTGGGGCTCCCTACCGTCCTTCTCCCCAGTCTTTTCACAATTCAGTATTGACGAATTCAGTATTGATCAGGCACCTGCTCTGTGTACGGCTTGGTGCTTTTCTGATGAGATGCAAACATATAGAAGACATAAGCTCCTGCAGAGACATGAAAGCCTGAAATCCAGGGGCTTTCAAATTTTGATTCCCCTGGGTTTAAAATCCAGGGGAATCAAAGTTTAGTGATTATCTCAGAACCTGGAATTATATCTGTCAAACTTCCAGTGGCTTCCTCGAATTCCTTGTTAGCTTGTAAACGTCTGGAATCCCGCGCTCCCCTCTGAGACTTTGGCACCTTGCCTGTCCCCAGCAGTGGACTTCAAAACACCCCAGGGCCACCCTTCCAGCTCCTGCTTCTCTCCAGGGTCTCTTGGTCACTCTGTGAGCCAGCTATACTTACGGTGGCCATATTCCTAAATAAAACCAAGCCTTAAGGCACAGGACTTTAAAAAAAAAGTGGATGTGACCACAGGACAGAATTACTGAAACTGCAGGGTATCAGAGAAAACCCATCCTCTGTGCAGTCTGCTCTCCCCATGTTACATGTCACGCTGTTTCAGACATTGACCCTGTCCTCTACTTCCCTCCACCCCCGCCTAGAGATCTCAGGGAAGCTTTTACCTACTCCAGGCTCCGGGGGCTTCTGGCCAAGGCAGAGGAAGGAAGCTGAATCTAACTCCATCCAATATTCTGACTTCATCTTTCCATCAAAGCCAGGAAAAAACAGCCACACACACACACACACACTCAAACATACGGACATGCAGGGACACCCACGCGAGAGCTTTTGTCCTCAGCCACAGGGAACTAATGGCGCTTGGCACAGCCGCATGCTGGCCCAGTGTGCCCTGACCCAGGAACACCACATCTGTAACAAGGGGGATCTGCCCTGGGGGGCAGACACCTGTGCCCCAACCCAAGTGGCAGCATCAGGCGCACATAGGCTCCTTCCTGCAAGTCCCTTCACTTGTGACTTGGCCGAGCTACTCCTCAGTGGTGAGGATTATAGCGGGATAGCAAGAACTCTATCCTCAAGTGTGAAACCTGGGGTGGAGTCTCCCACAGCCTGGCTATTTCTCCTCTGTGTCAAAAGTCTTTTCAGCCCCTTGTCAGCGCAGCAAGCACATGGGGGAAATGAGGCCAGAGAAACAGCCAGCAGCCTTATGTGGGTGCATCTGCTGCCAGCCCTCTGGTGTTGGTCTTCCCAACTCTGCCTGAGACCCAAGTGCCCTTTCCCCCAGCCCCCAACTCTCCCTACCCTGCTCCCTTGCGGCCCCCAGACATTAGCCCCCTTCCGCTTCCCACAGCTTCACCCTGCCATCCGTGCCGCGCCCCATACCTCCCTCCTGCCTCTGGCTCTTTCTCCATCACTGAACTTTTCTCCTAACTTCCAGGCTTCCGTCCTCTGTCTCCCCAGAACCTCCACTGCCTTCCCAAGCGTTATATGTCCTGGTGTTCAGCCAAACCATTGGCCAGCCAGTGCCCAAGCCCCCGCCCCCCCATCTGCCATTTCTCCAGGAATTTGCTGAGGTGGGAGAATAAAAGGGGTGAAAAGCTGAGGAGAAGAGGTGCGCTGATCAGAACAGATGGGAGAGGCAGGGCAGAGCAGGGCAAGCCCAGAAGGTAGGAGACCCCAGGACAGAGTGTAAGTGGGAGCAAATGGGGCCAAGGAGTCCCTGAGAAGGCCCAGGGCCGAGAGAGATTTGGGCTTGCAGGGAGGTTTCCTCCTGCCCTCCACTGCCAGAAGAGAATCCGTGGGACACGGAGGTGCTGGGTACCAGACAGGGCAAGATCCTAGCTGAGGTGGGAGGGGACGCACAGGGGAGGAGGAGAGAGGGGCCGGCCGTCGGGAGGGGTGTTGGTAGAGAGGGAAAACAGGGTCTGAGAGCAGGAGCAACAGGTGGGAAAATAGGAGGGGAGAGGAGAAATGATGCGAGGGAGGGGAGGATGTCAAGTTGGGCAGAAATTAGGGTGGGGAAAAAGAGGAAAAAATGAGATGGGGAAAGGACGTGGCAGGTAGGACCAGGGCTGGAGGGGGTGAGATGAGGGTATTGTGGGACTCTGTGATCCCAGACAGAGAGGGGGTCGGTGCTGACGGGAGGAGAGGAGAGGTAGCATGTGATGACGGGAGGGCATGGCAGGGGCGGGAGGGGTGGAGGACCTGCCCTATCTCAGCTCCCCTCCCTGACCTCATGCTGGTCCTCCCCTTCTCCTCCCCCTGCTCGCTGCAGGCTCCCTCCTTCTCACTGCCGCTGGCTGCCCAGATCGACGGGTTGCGCGGCTCAGTGAACCCCTGCTGCAGGGAACAAGCAAGGGACATCCAGGGAGCTCAGGGCTGCCAAGGGGAGCCCACCCTGCCCTGCCCTGAGGCCCGCTCCTGAGGCTGGGGACAGAACAGGTGCAGAGGCACTGCAGCCGCTCACTGCCCAGGTAAGGAACAGCTCTGGAGAGACCGAGGGACGGGACGAGTCGGGTGAGGTGGGGTGCTCTATCCTGTCCCTACACCCCAGGGAAGGTTGGCAGGATTCCTCTCAGGGGAGTCCCCAGCACAGGGACTTTCTGTTGGGGCAGAGGAAATAGAACCGTGCAGAGGGGACTGGACTCTCTCTGGAGGGTATTTCTGGGAAGATGGGTCAGTGCATGGGTGGAGGGGTGGGGTTCAGACAGCATCAGATGGTGGCACAAGGGTGGAGGTGGTTATTGGTGAAGGGGACTCAGGGTCCCCGGATGTGCTGGAGCTGGGGGGAAGCAGAGGCTAGGCTGAATTGGTGGCCAGCTGAACCTCTGGAGGAAAGTGCTGAAGTAACCCGAATGCTCTGGCTGGAGCTTCTTTGGGCATCCAGATGGGGACTGCCCAGGTGACAGCGTGTGGGTTGCAGGGCCTGGGAGGGAGGGCTGGGGGTCTTGAGCCTTTAGGCAATGCTGAAATGGAGCAGAGCAGGACTCCCAGGTCTGGGAAGGGCACAGAGCCTGCAGAGAGGATCCTAAAACTTGTTCTTGGCCCAGAGCTCTGCACCCATGACTCACAGTTCAGCAGGCCTGGAACGACTGAGAGATGCCTCCAGGGGCCCAGGGATCCGTCTTTCATCCATCATCCATCCCCCTTCTAGGCTACCCCTGCTTCTGTCCATCTGAACTCCCCCCCCCCATACACGTGACACACCCCGGGTGGGGCGCACGGCCCCTTATCTCGCCTGGAAAGAATTTCATGGCTTGGAAACAACTGGAAATGAACAGAAAGGAACTACTGGGAAGCAGCTCGGAAACACGGCAGCTGCCGTCTGTCTGCTTCCAGTCCCCGCCCGCTTCCCGATCCCCAGCCTCCTCCCCTTCACCCAGCCCAGCTTCCAAATTCCTGGGGACCCAGCACCTCAATTCCTCACACTTCCTTGCCCTTGAGTCCTCGTCACTCAGTGCAGGACCCAAATCTGGCTTTCTGTCTCTCACTGCCCCCCGGGGGTTCTGAAATCCTGTCTCATTACTGGTTCTGTTCCCCTGGCCCATTAGCTCCCCAGCATGAGGGGTATGAGGATCCCCAAGTCGCCCCTGCTCCGCATCTCTTTACCACCTTGGTTCCAGTCCAATATCTGGGGCCCCCTCATTTCCCTCCTTCCTCTCACACTCCTGGAATCCTTCTGTCTTCACCCCTCACGTGACATGAGTGGCAGAGGGAGGCATGGGGACACCTCTCATGGCACATCCCTCACGGAAGCCAACCCTTCTCCCCACCTCTTGGGACCTACAGTCCCTGATGAGCGAAGTGTCAAAGTTGGCCACGACATGAATACCCAGCAAGCTGAGTCACGGCTCGGGAAGATGCCTTCCTTTTGCCAGCCCTCCAGCTGTGGGGACGATGCCAAGAGGGTGAGGCCACATCCCCGTCCCCATTGCAGGAAGGCTCCCCAGATGCTGCGGTAGTGGGGAGGATGATGGGGAAATGCAAGAGACACCCAAGTTCCTTGCTTTCCTAATGCTGAGAGAAAAGGGGAGTTCTTTCAAGAGCTGCAAGTGGGGAACTGGAGGGGTGCTGGTGACAGGGCAGGAGAGGGGGATGGGGAAGGAGGCTCTGGGGGTATGGCCTGGGGGGCCACTCCTCTGCTCTCGGACCAGCCTAACTACTTCCCAGCCTCTGCCCTGCCTGCTGCAGGGACCCTATCCGTGCCCCCACCACATGGGGAAAGATGTGGGATCCAGTCGTGGGGGAGGGGTACAGGACAACTCCCAAAGGCCGCCAAGGCTGTGGGGCACCACGCAGCCTCTCCTCCCTCCCTCCCCCAAAAGGGCCTCCTGTTTGGTTCCTCTCACTCCAACTAAGCTCTTTGACTCTCATAGCTGCCCTCTGAGCTAAGGAGAAATCAGCTTTTTTAGGCATCACCAATGACTGGGTATGGAGGAACATGAAGGGGAGACTGTGTGTGTGTGTGTGTGTGTGTGTGTTTGTGTGTGTGTGTGTGCACACGCAAGCACATCTGCAAAGATGCAGGCTTGTTTGGATGGATATGTGTGTACAAATGTCTAAATATTTGCACTTGTGAGTAAGCACACACAAGTGTACTTTATGTGTACATGTACTTGTATGTGCATGCACCTGTGATTTGCATGGCCTTAGACACGGTGAAAAGATTTGCAGGGAAGTACCCCACCTCATACCCAAGGCTACACCCCAAGCTGAGAGAAGGGCCGAGGCGCCCAGAGAAAGGCTGCTGCATGCCAGGCCTCTCGCCTGGGCTTCCTCCCTCAGGGTGCCTCTCAGTGTGGAAACGCTCTGTCCCTGTGGCCCAGATCCTTTTTCATCTTTTGTGGGCTGGCAGCTGGGGGGAATGGCCAGCAGTCCTGAAAAGTCCCTTTTTCTCAGACCCTGAGGAGAAGTTTAAGAGAAGGAAGCCAGGAAATGCATGTGTGTTGCAGGGAGGGTCCAGTCCTGCCCCCTCCCCGCCTCTCCAGTCAGCATCTCCACCCGGCCCTCCTTTCTCTCTCCAGCCTCTCTGGTCTGGAAGGCCAGGCACAGTCCACACCTCTCCTTAACCCTTCTCCTGAACTGAACTCTGGCGCCCCCTCCACACTCCTGTGTTCAACAGAGCCCCCCTCCTGGCTCACCCGGAGCGCCCCACTATCTTTACTCTCTAACCCTTCTCTCCCTGTGCTCCCCAATTCTTGTCTCAATGAATTCCACAAACAAACACCTATGTAACCAGCACCCAGATCAAGAAACTGGATATTCTTAGCATCCCGGATTCCCCCCACCATGGCCCTTCTCGTCACTGTTCCTTGGAGAGCACCACACTTCTGACTTGTAACGCTCACTGTAAATTAACATTGGCTTTCCTCAAACTTCATATAAATACAATTTTGCAGCATGTTCTTTTTTGTGTCTGACTGCTTTTGCTCAGCCCCACATTAGTGAGATCCGTCCATTGCATAGAGCTGTAGTAGTCTCATTGCTTTATTTCTTTCCACTGTGTGAATAAACCACTTTATTTAATCCCATCTACTGATGGAGACATTTGGAGAGTTCCCAGAATGAGTAGTACTTCTATGGTGGGTATGCCCAGGAATGGAATTGTTGGGTCACAGGGTTTGCATATAACTGTAGTAGATTCTGCCAAAGTTTCCCAAAGTGCTTGTACCATGTGACCCTGCCAGATCCACATCTGGCTGGCTCTCTGCCACAGCTGCTGTTTTGAACCAACTTCTAGTCCCAGATACTGTCTGTGGTTCTAGCCCTGACCTTAGTCCTGTCCTTGGTTTCAGCCCTGAAGCTAGTCCTGGGCTTAAATTGAACCTTTCATTCAATCATTTAATCAACAGACATTTATTGAGCACAGGTGCAAGGATACAACAGCCAAGAAAAAAACAGGCGCCATGGCTGCCCCCATAGACCTTACGGACAAGATGGAAAGTGGGCGAGAAAGTAATGAAATAACCTCACAAATAAATATGTGATTACAAAATGTTGTAAATGCTACCAATGAGAGTTGCATGGTGCTCTGATATCACATGCTAGGGGGACATGACCTGGGCAGGAAAGCTTCCCTGAGGGAGTGATGTGGGGCTGAGACCTGAAGGATGAGGAGGCCAAGAGGAAAGGGAAGAGCGTTCCACATAGAGGGAACCGCATATACAAAGTCTGGCCTTGGAAAGAGCAGGAGGGACTTACAGAAGGCCCGTGGGACTAGAATGGGGGGTGGTGGTTACGGAAGATGAGGTGGAAGAGGTCAGCAGGGGCCAGATGGCGTGGGGCTGTCTGTCAGCGTTTGAAGAGAATTCGGAAGGGAGACACTGAGGAGTTTTTAGGGGAAGGAGGGACATCCTAGTTGCCTTTTCAAGATTGTAAGGGGCAAGAGTGGAAGCAGAGGGACCAGCTAGGACTCAATTGCAGTTATTGAGCAATAACTTGGACTGTGATGTTGGTAAGAGGGATATAAATAAGCAAACTAAAGAGGTGTTTATGAGAAAATATGGGTAAATATAATGAAAGATAGTGGTGTTGGTGGGCTGCTAGATTTCTGGCTTGTAAAGCTGGATGCATGGTGGGGCTGTGAGCTGCAGTGGAGAACACTGCAAGGGGGTGGGGAACAGAAAGGATGACCATGAGTTCAGGTTCAGGCATGCTGAATTTGGGGTGCCCAAGAGGAGATGCCAAGTAGGCAGTTGGATATGTTGCTTGGAGTGGAGAGGAGATGACGAGGCTAGTGGGGAAATTACAGTCGTGAGTCTGGACGAAGGTACTTAGGTGGGTGACTAGAGCAGCAGGCCTCACCTCTGGGTGCACATTACAATCAGCTGGGGAGCTTTTAAAAAGTACTGGAAAAAAATTCAGTGCCTCAGTCATTCTTGCCACATTTCAAGTGTTCAAGAGCCACATATCTCTCCTAGCTACCATAGTCACAGCACAGATACAAAATGTCTTAAAACGGAAGATATGGTCAACAGTGTTTAGTGATTTTGAGAGAGGTCAAGTAAGATGAAGACAAATGTCTCCTAGGTATTTTGATACAGATCATTGGGAGACCTTAGGGAAGGCTGCGCAGTGGCTTGAAGGAGGTGCAGAAGCCAGATGAGAGTGAACTGAGGCATGCATGGGCTATGGGGAAATAGAAACAGTGAGTGCAGGTCAATCTTTTGACAACTGTGCCATGAAGTAGAGGAGAACGATGTGCAGTGGCTGAAGGGAGCATGCGATTGGGGAGGTATTGTGTTTTATTTTAAGGTATAACTGTCATATATCGAAATGCACAAATCTTAAGTGTGTAGCTCAATTAATTTTGGGATATGTATACATTTGTTTAACCACCACCCAGATCAAGGTGCAAAACATTTCCAGATATCCCCTGTTGTGACTCCTCCCAATCAATACTATCCCTGAAAGTCATCCTGGCCTATCTTCTAAAAGCAATGATGGGGCCGGCCGAGTGGCTCAGTTGGTTAAGAGCTCATGCAAGAGTGCAAACTCTGAGCAACAGCAGTTCGATGCCCAGCCCGAGCTGAGTTGCCACTGAGCTGCCAACTGGTAGCAGGATGGCTCAGCTAAAAAAATGAAAAAATAAAAATAAAAAAAATAAAAGAAAATAAAGCAGTGATTCACTCTGCTTGTTTTTGAATGTGATATAGATAGCATCATTCAGAATGGTTGTGTGTGTGTGTGTGTCTGGTTGCTTTTGCTCAGCATTGTGTATGACAATTGTTCTTGTTGCATGTAGCAAGAGGGTCTTTTTCATTGCTGTAAAGTATTCCATTGTATGACCATGCCACAATTTATCCCTTTCTCCATTCTACTATAGATTGAGTTGTTTCCACTTTGGGCTAATACAAATAAATCTCATGAACATTCTTGTGCATGTTTTTTGGAGGATATGTGAAGTCATTTCCATTGGATATTTACCAAGAAGCAGAATTGCCAGGCTGTAGACTATGTGTTTTTTTTTTTTTTAAAGATTTTTTATTGGGTAATTGGGGGGATGGGAACAGTGATGGGGAATTGGGGGAAGGGGAACAGACAAGTTGCTGTCGTTTTGTTCTTCAATCTAGTTGTGGAGGACGCTGCTTCACTGGCCCAAGTTGGCACCATCATTGCGCTCTTCCCTGGCGAGGCAGATCAGTCGCCGGCTTCTGGACGGCCGCTCACTGCGGCTGCTGGCCGCTCACGCTGGCTGCTGGCTACATACGGTAGCCCATGGCAACCCACTGCCACAGGGACTGCAGCCTACGCCGTCGCCAGCGACTCACGGCAGCCCAGCTCCAGGTTGAGCTGTTGTTCAGCATCTTAGCTGTGGAGGGCAGTGTCACTGGCCCTCATATGTGGGATCCGAACCGGGGCCCTCTGGCATCCCAAGCGAGTTCTTAACCATCGCGCCACTCAGCCGGCCCTAGACTATGTGTTTTAGTAGATACTGCCAAACAGTTTTCCAAAGTGGTTGCTCTAATTTATGCTCCTTCTCACAATAGATGAGAGTTCCAGTTGCTTCATACTCTTGCCAGTATCGAGCAATGGCAGTTCCTTTAATTTTAGCCATTCCAGTGGATATTTCGTGGCATCTCTTTGTGGCTTTAGTTGCATTTCCCTGATTACTAGTGATGTTATAACCTTTTCATGTTTATTGGCCCTTTGGATATACTGTATTCTTTTCTGGAGTACCTGCTTAAGTCTTTTCCCACTTTAAAAACTGGGTTGCCTGTCTTTTATTTGTTGTCTTTGTTTTGAAGTTCTTTATTTTAGATTTTAACCTCTCTCTCACTCTCTCTCTCTCTCTCTCTCTCTCTCTCTCTCTCCATATATACATATATATATATATATATATATATATATATATATATAGTTGTTGGAAAAGTCATGACATATTTTTTTCTATGTTTTTGAGACAGAAGAGCCGCCAGGGGTCAGCAAACTGTGACTCGCGGGCCTCTGAAGTAAAATTGAAAATGAAAATAAAACTATCATAATTTCACTTATAAAATTTTTACAGGATATTATTCACATAATGGTGATTTCATTTGTTTTATAGGTCTCGCAAAACTTTTTAAATTGTTTTTAAATTGTTGTGAGGAACAGGATTGGCTCTTCCAGGGGTCGGCAAATGCTGAGATGGAATGCACCCAAACAGCTGCGTGTGGCTCGCAACCCGCAGTTTTGCTGACCCCTGAACTGTATCTATCTATCTATCTATCTATCTATCTATCTATCTATCTATCTATTTTTCCCTGACATATCTCCCAGACAGTTGAGCCTTGAACAATGTGGGGATTACGGGCACCAACAGCCCACTCCAAAAATCCACATATAATTACAATCGACCCTCCATCCTTGGATTTCCAACTGCCAGTTGACCCTTGAACAAGGCAGGGTTGAGCTCCAGGGGTCAATTGGAAAAAGTCTGCAGATAAGCGACCCAAGCCATTCAACCCTGCTTTGTTCAAGGGTCAACTGTATTGTCTCCCAGTCTGTGGTTTGCCTTCTTATTCTCTCAATGGTGTCTTTTGATGAACAGAAATTATCAGCTTCAATGTGGTCCAATGTATCTGTCTCTTTTTTGTGGTTAAGTTTTATGTGAAATCTTTTAAGGTTAAATTTTTGTGGATAGGTTTTAAGAAATCTTTGCTTACTCCAAGGTTATAAAGATTATATTTTCTTCTATAAGATATTGTTCTGAAAAGCATTGCTTTACCTTTCGCAGTTAGGCCCATCAGATTCATTCCAAATTAATTTCTGTATGTGGGCATAAGGTAGAGATAGGGTTTTTTCCCATATGGATTTTCAGTTGACCCAGCACCATTTAATTAAAAAATGATTCATCTCCTCTTAATTGTAGTGACACCTTTGTCATTAATCAGGTGACCACATATGTGTGGGTCTTTTTCTGGACCCTCTTCTGTTCTGTCTATTCTTGCACCTTTATATCAAGTTTCCATACTTGGAAATGTAAGCCTTGAGGAAGAGGTTTTTTTGTTTGTTTGTTTGTTTGTTTAATGGGCGATATTTGAGTTCATAGACGAGCTGATGGGAGGATCTAGTTGACAGTGAGAGGTTGAATAAAAGAGAAAGAGGACAATCTGCACCTTAAGGTTCCTGAGAAGACAGTAGGAACTGGGGTCCAGGTCCTTGTGGAAGAATTGGCCTTAGATATTTATCCACTAATCCATTAAACATAAATGTGTTGGACGGGGCCGGCCGAGTGGCTCAGTTGGTTAAGAGTTGGCTTGAGAGCGCGAGCTCTGAGCAACAGGGCTGCCGATTCGATTCCCACATGGGCCAGGGACACTGCACCCGAGCTGAGCTGTCGCTGAGCTACCAACAGGTGGCAGGATGGCTCAGCTGGTGTAACAACAAGATTGTCTGTTCGATGCTGGACTATGCCTACCTGCAACTAAGACTGAACTCGGCACCTTGAGTTGAGCTGCTGCCCGGATGACTCAGTGGATAGATCGTGCGCTCTTAACAAGTCTGCTGTTTCGAATCCTGCATGGGATGGTGGCTACGCCCACCTGAAACTAAGATTGAACACAGCACTTTGAGCTTAGAGGCCATGAGCTGCCGATGGGAAGCCAGATGGCGACTGGCGCCTTCCACAGTGAAGATTGAAGAACAACAACTTGGCTGGTCCCCTTCTCCAATTTCCCAATAAAACCTTTAAAAAATAAATAAATAAACAAATGTGTTGGACAGCTCCTATGTGCCAGGCACAGGCATTCAGCCATGCCAGGACAGATGAGGTCCCTGTTCTCATGGAGTTCCCATTCTAGTAGTGGGAGAAAGATAACAAGTGCCAGACAGATGATTCAGGCAGCAGTGAATGCCATGAACGTAAGTGGGACATTGAGATAGACAGTAATGCTCCAATTGGGCAGCAAGGAAGGCCTCTGGTCGTCGATGACATATGAGTTAAGATCTGAACAAGAAGGAGCCCGCCTTTAAGAGCTGAGTGAAGAGCATCCCAGACAGAGGGAACATACTACGCAAAGGCCCTTGGGCTAATGTGAGCTTAGTGCCCGTGTAACAAGCAAGGGAGTGGTGTGGGTAGGGCAGCAGTAACAGTTGGGGAGCAGGGAAACCAAATGATGTCAAAAGGAGAGTGAGACACAATATCTCTCGCCAAAGGTATCCCTTACAGTTTGGCTGCAGGTGGACCTTTATGTAAGTTGAGTTGGTTAGTTGTGGGTGGTGGGGCTGTGAATGTGTGTTGAGGGGGGTGGACGGACATCTTATCTTCTTCTCTGAAGCGTCACTCACACCTGCCCTCTCTCCCTGCAGCCTCCTGAATGATGCCAAGCCAATGTTCCCTAATCTCCAACCTGGCCCTCCTGGTGCTGCTGGGCACAGTCAGAGCAGGCCCTTTCTCTTCACGCTCCAATATGCCACTTCCAACTTCACGGCCCCCTCCTCAGCCAGGGGGCCGCACAGCGGAGCCAAGACGGGGGAAGCCCTCTTCTCAGCTTTATGAGCACACTGTGGAAGGAGGGGAAAAGCAGGTGGTGTTCACCCACCGCATTAACCTGCCCCCTTCGGCTGTCTGTGGCTGTCCCCCGGGCACTGAGCCCCCTGTCCCGGCTTCAGAGGTACAGGCCCTAAGGGTTCGACTAGAGATCCTGGAGGAGCTGGTGAAGGGGCTCAAGGAACAGTGCACTGGGGGATGCTGTCCTGTTGCTGCCCAGGCTGGCACAGGTGAGTAGGTGACTAAGAAAACGAGGCAGGTGGAGAAGTTGGGTGGGCATCGCTAGTCTATAAAGGACTTGGGTATGAATTAGAAAAAGGTACCCCTTTCTCACCCTTGGGAGTGGTGAATGCAGCCCAGGGCACAACCTGGAGAAGGGAGCCACCTGGCTAGACTCAGCCCCCACCCCTACTCCCACCCCTCCGCATATGCTAAGGCCCTGGGAGACCACATATAGTGACAAGGGGCAGCTGGAAGCTAAGGTGGCTTTAGGAAATGAGGCTGGCCCTGCTGGAGGGGCTGATTCAGGGGAACACTATTTGGGCTCACCCTCTCCCTCAGGGAGACTGAGGCCCTCCTCTCCCTCTCCAAGGCCAGACAGACATTCGTAGTCTCTGCAGTCTCCATGGTGTGTTTGACCTGAGCCGCTGCGCCTGCTTCTGCGAGCCAGGCTGGAGTGGGCCCACATGCTCGGACCCCACAGACGCTGCGGTGCCCCCTTCCTCCCCACCCTCAGCCTCCGGATCTTGTCCAGATGACTGTAACGATCAGGGGCGCTGTGTCCTTGGTCGCTGTATGTGCTTCCCTGGCTACACCGGCCCCAGCTGTGGCTGGCCCTCCTGCCCCGGGGACTGCCACGGCCGCGGGCGCTGCGTGCAGGGCGTGTGCGTGTGCCGGACAGGCTTCTCGGGCGACGACTGCAGCCTGCGCTCCTGCCCTCGAGGCTGCAGCCAAAAGGGGCGCTGCGAGGACGGGCGCTGCGTGTGTGACCCCGGCTATACTGGCGAGGACTGTAGGGTGAGGAGCTGCCCTCGAGGTTGCAGCCAGAGGGGGCGCTGCGAGGACGGGCGCTGCGTGTGCAACCCCGGCTATACTGGCGAGGACTGTAGGGTGAAAAGCTGCCCCCGGGGCTGCAGCCAGAAGGGGCGCTGTGAGAACGGGCGCTGTGTCTGTGACCCTGGCTATGCTGGCGAAGACTGCGGCTCGCGGAGCTGCCCGAGGGACTGTGGCGAGGGTGGGCGCTGCGTGGATGGCCGCTGCGTGTGCTGGCCCGGGTACGCGGGCGAGGACTGTAGCACACGGACGTGCCCACGCGACTGCCGGGGCCACGGGCGCTGCGAGGACGGCGAGTGCATTTGCGACGAGGGCTACAGCGGGGACGATTGCGGCGTGCGCAGTTGCCCCGGGGACTGCAACCAAAGGGGTCGTTGCGAGGATGGCCGCTGCGTGTGCTGGCCCGGGTACACAGGGCCCGACTGCGGCGCGCGCGCCTGCCCGCGCGACTGTCGGGGCCGTGGGCGCTGCGAGAACGGCGTGTGCGTGTGCAACGCGGGCTATAGCGGCGAGGACTGCGGCGTGCGCAGCTGTCCTGAGGATTGTCGCGGCCGGGGCCGTTGCGAGAGTGGCCGCTGCGTGTGCTGGCCCGGGTATACTGGCCGGGACTGCGGCACGCGGGCCTGCCCTGGCGACTGTCGCGGGCGCGGGCGCTGCGTGGACGGCCGCTGCGTGTGCAACCCGGGCTTCACGGGAGAGGACTGCGGGAGCCGTCGGTGCCCCGGGGACTGCCGCGGTCGGGGCCGCTGCGAGGATGGCGTGTGTGCGTGCGACACAGGCTACGAGGGAGAGGACTGCAGTGCGCGCAGCTGCCCTGGAAGTTGCCGAGGCCGCGGCCAGTGCCTAGACGGGCTCTGCGTGTGCGACCACGGCTACTCAGGCGACGACTGTGGCGTGAGGCGGTGCCCGCGCGACTGCAGCCAGCGTGGCGTGTGCCAGGACGGAGTGTGTGCCTGTTGGGAGGGCTACGCCGGAGAGGACTGCGCCCTCCGTACCTGCCCTTCCAACTGCCACGGGCGCGGCCGCTGTGAGGATGGCCGCTGTGTGTGCGACTCAGGCTACACCGGACCCTTCTGCGCTTCCCGCAGCTGCCCCGCCGACTGCCGGGGCCGTGGGCGCTGTGTGCAGGGAGCTTGCGTGTGCCATGCGGGCTATAGCGGCGAGGACTGTGGGCAGGAAGAGCCTCCCGCCAGTGCCTGCCCGGGGGGCTGCGGGCCCCGGGAACTGTGCCGAGCCGGCCAATGTGTATGCGTCGAGGGCTTCAGAGGCCCTGACTGCGCCATTCAGACGTGCCCTGGAGACTGCCTCGGCCGGGGAGAGTGTCGTGAGGGTCAATGCGTCTGCCAAGACGGCTATGCAGGGGAGGACTGTGGAGAAGGTGAGTAGGCAGCCTTTCCCAGTATGCTCCGTCAGGGGCTGGGAATCTGAGCCAGTGGGAAGGCCCCAGTTTGAGGCCTAGGATCCCAGGGACCTGGAGGAAGAGTGGAGGAAGGTCATATATGAGGGGAGTGGGCCGTCAGAGGAGCGAGGGAGCCAGTGTCCACCAAGGGCAGCAGAGCCATGGGGGCTTGCCAGCAGGCAGGACCTCTAATGCTCTCATGAGCAGGTTGGAGTCCCTTTTGGTTGCTTTTAGGGAGATTCTGTGTTCCTGGAGCTGGGGGAAGGTGAAGTCCCAGGGCCTGTTCAGACCTCTGCTAGCTTTGCCCCACCCCCAGAGAAGAGTGAGAACTGGGATGGATCTCCTACTGTGGCCCTGAGGGGGGAGGGGGGACTGTGATGGTGGGGGTCAGGGTGGGAGCTGCCTTGGGCTAAACCAGCTTCCTGTATCCATTCTCTTGGGCAGAGGTGCCAGCCATTGAGGGCATGAGGATGCACCTACTGGAAGAGACGACAGTTCGGACCGAGTGGACCCGGGCTCCCGGCCCCGTGGATGCCTATGAAATTCAGTTCATCCCCACGGTGAGAGCCACCACGCTCCAGGAGGGGACTGAGTGGGCAGGACTAGGGGGGAGGGGGTGCTCACCACATGCAGGGCATTCCAGGTGATCAGTGGTTGAGTCCAGATGTCTAGGTTCCCGAAGCTGCTGTAAAGGCGTTCTCAACCTGCTCCACATGGGGCACAGAAGTCCTCTGTAGCCTTTCAAGCAAGCATTGGCCCATTGCTGCTGGAACGCCCCTGATGACAGTGAGCTCAGTACTTCCTGAGGCTGTCCAGTCTTTTCTTGGTCATCACTGTTAGTTCTTTTTGTTGTTGTTGAGTCTAAATCTGCCCCATTCTGACGTCCATCATCCAGTGGCCCTTGCTGTGCCTTCACCAACAGTCAGAGTGTGTGTTTTTTTGTTTGTTTGTTTGTTTGTTTGTTTGCTTGTCCTGCATCCTACGCCACAGGCTTTCAGGGATTGGGAGACATCAGCCATCATGTCATTCTCACAGGCAGAACCCACTGGTTCCTCCACCCCTCTTCCCTAGGGCTTGTTCTTGAAATCTTCCCTTCCAGAGTTCGCACTTCTAGTGCCTTCTGCTTTTTGCATGTGACCCCAGAACGTGGGTGCAGAGAAGAACCCGTCATTCACCTGGCTAACTCCGGAGACTGGCACTTTTCTCAGAGTTTGCATATATTAACTTGTGGTCACACAAACTGTGAGCTGTTTTGATCATATTTGTTTCTTTTAAATAACTTTTTATTATGAAAGTCATATAGGATTAGTGTGGAAACTTTAGAAAATATAGACAAATAAGGAAAAAAGAGAGAAGAAAAGAAAGAAGGAAAAAAGATAGCATTCAACTATATATCCTTTTCTTAGCCTAAATATAGGGCTTTGCAGCTGGCTCTGTTCAATGTTATCTTTTTTTGGTTTCGGCCAAGCTGTCTAGGCTATTGCAATAATTCTAAGTCTGTGAAGTGGTTCTCCCGCCTCTATGTCGTCAGTGCGTCGCAAAGCATTCTTTCTCTGCCTCCTTCCAACTCGCTCTTAAAATATTTGGGGGCCACCCTAAGGACAACGTCTTGTGGTCTATTAGAGAACTCTTTTTGTGCAGATTGGGCTTTTATGATGTGTTTAGTCTTCCAGCTCCAAATCATCTGACATTTCTACTGTCCAATTCATGTTTTCCTGCATGATCCCAGAAATGGCTGGGGTGGGTAGGCCATGTCACCCTCGTCTCTGCTCAGCCCGGACTCTGAAAAAATAAGTAACTCTCAGGGCCTAAACCCTAGGAAGGCTCTAGGACAGAGATGCTGGCTGTCATCTCCACTCCAGCTGGCCTCATTATTCTAAGTCTTCTTTTTATACCGCCAAAGTCAGACCCCCACCATGTTGTCTCGCCTCACTCCCTGATAGAAGCAGAAGCAGAAATCCCCACTTTGCTGTACAAGAAAGTTAGCTTGGATTTTTTTTCTTCTGTTTGAAAAAAATTATTCTTTGTTGTTATAAAAATAGTTTAATCACAAGACAAGAATTTGGCAACTAGGGAAAAAACAAATAATTCTTGGCTGCTTCACACTAAAACAAACACTATGAACATTTTAAAGTGTTTCTCCCACTCTCTTCTTCGCTGCATATTTTATTTACATAGTTCTAATCTTGAGAGGGTGGAACTTTTAAAAGGAACTTTCCAAAGAAACTTCATGGAAAGTGGAATTAAAATAAACGCTTGAGATGGATGGGAGGAGCTTGAAGGGCAGCACGGTCTCCTGCTCTTAGTAAGTATGAACCCAGCCTTGGACGTTCTCAAGAGGTGCCCTACGCTTCCTCCCTCACCAGGGGGCTGGTGGTGTCAAGATGGCCCATGCCCGGCTTGGCCATGCGTTCAGTTCATCTGCTGTGGTCTGGGTATGGGCCTCTGTCACATCCTAGGTCCTCTCTGAGCCCGGGTGTGAAAAATGCTCCTGTAAGATTGGTCTATAGATACCCCAGTTAGATTCCACATCAGCCTGTGCTATTGGCTCTCAGACTATGCTTTCTACATTTTCTATGGCTGCCTCTGGAATTGTGCCTCTGGCCCTGGCCGGTGCTCTCCGTCCACTTCTGTTGGCACGGAATGTATTCAGTAGCTTGGCCACTGCCATCTTCCTAGAAGCCCGTCTCTAACCTTATCTGGAAACACTTCTCTCTCAAAGCCCAAACTCTGCTATTCCCGGCCAAGGGACACACCTCGTTACTGGAACAATTTTCAGAACACCAGAGAGGCACCATTGTCCTTCTCCCTGCATACGTGTCATTTTAATCTGACTCAGCGGTTCTCAAAGTGTATGCCCTGGATCTGCAGCATTAGTGTCACCTGGGAGCTTGTTAGACATGCAAATTTTGGACCCTGCCCCCAGGTCTGAATCAGAAGCTGTGGGGGTGGAGCCCAGTAACCTGCCCTCCAGGTGATTCTGGCACACCCCAAGCCTGAGGACCACTAACTTAAGTAATGTTGTTATTTTGCAAAATGCTGGCTCCTCTATGAAATGTGAGAGAAAGCGTGCGGAAACTGAGGGAGATGAGCCCCTGAACAGAAAAAGGTTCAGGTATTCCTTGTCTGGGTGCATTCTGCAGCCTGCAATCCAGGGCTACACCAAGTTTTCATTGGGACACAAGACCTTGCAGCCTCAGAAAAGTTTGTGTTTGGGTCTGATCTGAAAAGGGGGATGAGGGTGCAGTAAGCTCCAGGGACCAGCCAAGGTGCAGTCCCCTACCTGGGGCCAAAAGGTTGATATCGAGACTAGGATTAGAAACTCGTCAGGGACAGTCAGTGAAGCAGCCACGCTTTCACCGAGGTGCAGAGCCAGCTGCCAGCATTTGGCTTTGGAGCCTCCCTCAGACCAGCCAGAGGTGCTGATGGTGGGACTTTCAGGGGGCAGTTCCCAAATGGATCTCAGGAGGGACTAAGGTGTCTAAAAGGGTCGTGTAGGTGGTCTGAAGGGAGAGGGAGACCTTGGGATGGGCTTATCTCGCTGAAAGGACCAGGCATCATCAGGGAGCACCCAAGGGTGTGTGGTGTGTGTGTGTGTGTGTGTGTGTGTGGTGTTGGGGAATGATGGATGGGGAGGATGAGGACTTCACAGGTCTTGAGTTGAGGCTAACCCAAGGCCTCCTAGGCTGGAGTATCCTGGGGCAGGATGAGTAGAAGGACAGGGGTCCTGTGTGCCCAGGATACCTTTTCAGCCAAGGAAATGCTGACAAAGCTTTATTCATCCTCAACCCAGAAATCTACGTGGCTTCTCATTTGTTTTATACTTTGGTATTTGCTATGTTGATTTTCCCACCAATTCTCTTGGTTTAGGAGAGTACCTTTTGAAACTTCCAATCCTGCTTGGCCGAATGCAGGTGTCCCCATCACCGCCAACATAGCTAAGCAGAACAGAGCTTCCTTATAAGCTGTCCTAGCTGGACAGACAACCCAGTGAAATGTGGTGCTGTTGGACGGATGTCTAGTTCCTCCTGTCCCCCCAGCGGCTGCCATTCTAGGAGACCCTGCTTGGAGCAGGGGTTAGCAGATTTCCTGGGGTTCACCACAAATAATCATAGTCCCTTCCATCTACACTTGGAGGAGGGTTGTTTTCTCACAGGCAGGTACTACATGTAGAGATTTGGGTAGGGATCTAATAAAACATAAGACGTGGCCATCCATTTAGCTACTAGAGCATGAGCTATCTGAGAACAGGGACCATACCTTTTATTTTTGTGTCTCCAATGCCCAGCATGGTGCCAGGTATGAAATTGGGAAACAAATTTGTGGAACTCTGAGCAGATGGGCCTTTTTTTTGAGGGGCCTACAATTCTGCTGAGGAGATAAGAAAATTGCCTAAAGGGAAATGTCGTGACATGGTTCACCCCCAGATTACACAGCCAGGGGCGGGTGTCTGTGGGGAGGCTCAGGCTGGGGCAGATGCCTTAAGGAGGAAGTGAGACTTGAAGGGGCATCCCTCATCCACTTCATCTGTTCTGGTAGGAGTGAGTTTAAGAGCAGCTTTGTCCTGCTAAAGAAGTCAAGGTTGGGGGTGGGGAGGGGGTGGAGCCAGAGGGAGAGACCTGGCTGGCGTTGGGTAGAATTCTGGCAGACAGCTGATGAACAAGCTAAAAGGTAGTGCCCATGAGAGGGGACTCTGAGGTCACACTGCCTGGGGGGTAGAATTCTGGCAGACAGCTGATGAACAAGCTAAAAGGTAGTGCCCATGAGAGGGGACTCTGAGGTCACACTGCCTGGGTTTAAATTCCTGCCACGTTCTTGATGTTGGTGACCTTGGGCAAGATACTTTCAATCCTTTTGTATCTCTGTTTCCTCACCTGTCCAGTGGGAATACAACCTACCTGAGAAGGTTTGTATGACGATTCAGTGAGTTTATTACTCACATTGCCTTAGACAGTAGCTGGCATGGAGTAAGTGTTCTAGCACTTTTGCTGTCACCACCCATGCTCCCCAACTGTACAGGGCCAAGTTCTACACAGTCCCAGGCTGACACTGCCTGGAATTGGAGAAAGGAGATATAAGGGGGGTTGAGCAGCAGGGGTAAGAGTGCCAGTTCTGATCCACCCTGTGCTCTCTGTCTTGCAGACGGAGGGGGTGAGCCCCCCGTTCACGGCGCGGGTGCCCAGCTCTGCTTCAGCCTATGACCTGAGAGGACTGGCCCCCGGTCAGGAGTACCAGGTCACCGTCCGCGCCCTTCGAGGGACTAACTGGGGCCCTCCTGCCTCCAAGACCATCACCACCAGTGAGAGCTGGGGCTGTGGGGTGTGTCCTGAGTGGAGAGCTGGACTTGAGAGGGGCAGGGAGGAATCTGCCTTCCAGCAGGGCAGAGGGGAGGGATTGGGCGGGGCAAGGATATTAGACAGAAAGCTAATGACTAAAGAACCAGCCTCCCACCTGATGCTTCCTCTCTCTATCCCGACTAGTGATTGATGGCCCCCAGGACCTCCGGGTAGTAGCCATGACTCCAACCACGCTGGAGCTCAGCTGGCTGCGCCCCCAGGCCGAGGTGGACCGATTTGTGGTGTCCTATGTCAGTGCTGGAAACCAGAGGGTGCGGCTGGTAGTGCCTTCTGAGGCCGACGGGACTGTGCTGACTGACCTGATGCCAGGCGTGGAGTATGTGGTGACTGTCACTGCGGAGCGGGGCCGGGCAGTAAGCTACCCTGCTTCCGTCAGGGCCAACACAGGTATGGCTGGCCAGGGTTTAGGGAAGGGAAGGGCCTGGTTCCTGAATGTAGGAGCCCCTTCCTTGGGAGCCCATGCAGGGCTCACAGGCTCTTCTGAATACACTTGGCAGGGTGGGTGGCAGTCTCACAGCACCTGCTGGGGGCCTTGTTTGGTACCAAGGGCACCGGGGAGGCAGAAGCCTCAGGCCCTTCCTATAGGAAGGCTGTGCTGGATGGAGTATGGGAAAAGCTGCCCATGGAGAAAGCAGTGAATAGGAGATGCTGTCCAACCCACGCAGATGGGAGCAGCTCTCCTGCTCACAGTCAGTGGTCAGATCTTGTAGGGACTGGAATTAGGCCGATCAGAGACCAGCAGAGACCAGCTCCTGTTGACTTCAGGATTGGGGTTTGGGGAGTTAGATCTCAGAGCAGCAATTTTCCACTAACCTCAAGGTCTCTTAACAGATGCCTGGATCTTTTCTTTGCCTGTGACAGAGAGGGACGCCCACCTCGCTGTAGCTCACATCCTGTTCTCCCACTTCCCTTTCTCTCCTTCAGACACAGGGCCTTACCCGCTGGCTTCTCTCTTCTTTCTAGGGCGCCAACAGTGGCGGGTTTGGAGGGCCAGGGGTGAGGGGATCCTGGGACACTGACTCCTTTTTCTCGGTTCTCTTTCCAGGTGGGGCTGGGGCACATGGACGAGGCCTCTGGCTCCGGTGGGAGGGCCGGAGGAAGGGACGGCCGTGGGAGGAGTGCGGGGGTGGGGGGCTGCCACTGACCTGCTCTCCCCCTCCCCCTTTTTTGCCCCCGGCAGCACCAGGCCACTACAGTTACCCGGAGGTGCACTCCCCAGCCCTGTCCCCCAAGCCCCGTCCTCGGCCGGCCCCGGCCCCGGCCCCGCGGACCCCGCGCCCAGCTCGGCCCACTCGGCCCACTCGGCCCCCTCGGCCTGCAGAGGAGCGGCAGGAGGAGTCTGGGCCTGGGCCTAGCCTGCCCCAGCCCTCTCGGCGGCCGTGGGGCAACCTGACGGCCGAGCTGGGCCGCTTCCGCGGCACGGTGCAGGACCTGGAGCGCCACCTGCGGGCTCACCGCTACCCACTGCGGGCCAACCAGACCTACACGTCGGTGGCGCGCCGCATCCACGAATACTTGCAGCGGCGTCTGGCGGCGGTCGCCCCCGGCTCCCCCGCACCCTCGCCCGTCCGCTCCCACCCCACCACTAGCCCCGACTCTGACCAGGGCATCTACGGCCTCTCGCCGGAAGGCGTCAATGGGGTGGCTGCAGCCCGCCACCCCAAGCCTGAGGTGCTGGGCAGTTCCGCTGATGGCGCACTACTCGTGTCCCTCGATGGGCTCCGCGGCCACTTCGAGCGCGTGGTGCTGCGCTGGCAGCCCCAGCCGCCCGCAGAGGGCCCCCTCGGGGAGCTGACTGTGCCGGGCACCACGCGCACCGTCAGCATACCCGACCTCAGGCCTGGCACTACCTACCATGTGGAGGTGCACGGGGTGCGGGCAGGGCAGACCTCCAAGTCCTACGCCTTCATCACCACCACAGGTAGCGTGGGCTGGGGCTCAGGACCACTCATCCCCTGCCCAGGCTCGCCTGCCTTTGGAATCTGCATCCCTCAGTTTCTCCCGCTGCTCACTGCTGACTGTCACCCCCACCACACCTTCTGCCTTCAAGCCCTACCCTGTCCAGGCTCCAGGGACCCCACAGCAAAGCACACTCTCCTGTGTCTCTAGAGCCCCGCCCCCCATCCTCCCACCCCCGGGGTCCTGGCAGATGCCCAAGGCCAAGGAGACCTGGTCTTGAGGATCCCTAGTTTTCACTCGGGTTCCCAAGGCACTTCTGCCCGGATTGTTGTTCTAGGTAACAGACAGGGGGCATTTGGTGGGAGGCGGAGTGACTGCACGCTCACTGAAGCAGTTTGGGTGGGGTAGGGTAGGAGTGAAACCAGAACCCTCCACTCTGACTCACTGTGGTGAAGGTGGCTGGAGACTGTGGTCAGTGGTTACTATTCCACAATTTGGCCTTGACCTCAAAGAGATACATTGAAACTGCTTGGAGGTGGCCTTGAAGCCACGAGGCAGCATGTGTGTACAAGAGGGCGAACCACTGCTTCCCGAGCTGCCTGTCCAGATCTCCTGCCTCACTTCATGCTAGTCTCTCCCACAGGAACGATATCCGGGCTCAGGAAGGGGTGCTTGGTGGCTGCCATGGCGGGGGTGGTGGGGTGTGTGTGTGTGTGTGTGTGTGTGGACCTTTTCTTCCCCCATAGGGCCCAGATGCCACCTGAGCCGGACGTCCCCCTCTTTCCCTCTCCTCTCACTACCCATTCTCCTTTTGCATCCGCCTTTCCTAACACCACCTTACCCTCCTTTCTTCCAGGCTTCTCACTGCAGCACTAATGGAAGCCACGACCACCACCCAGTGGGGCGGGAGAGACTGTGGGGAGGGACATGGAAGCCTGTGGGGCTGCAGGTCATAGGAGTCTTGTGGGGGTGGGGTGGCAGGCTTTATTTATTACGTTTATTGCCTGCAGGCCTGTATGTTCAGGTGTGGTGGAACAGGGGTGTTGGGAGGATGAGGTGGTCTGGAGTGTACCCAGGAGCAGAAAAGGGAGGGTCTGTAGGCTCTCAGAGGCTAGAGGGCAGAACCTGGGGGCTTGGGTCCCTTTCTGGCTCTCATATTCTACTCTCCTGTTTTTCTCGCCCTGCCCTTCCTAGGGTCCTTCCCCTCGGGCCTCTTGGGGGCCACTGATGAGCCTCCTCCCTCAGGCCCTTCAACGACTCAAGGGGCTCAGGCCCCTGGCCTGCATCAGCGCCCCCAGGAGCTGGGAGAAATGAGGGTGCTGGGCAGAGATAAGACAGGGCACCTGCGCGTGGCCTGGACGGCCCAGCCTGACACCTTTGCCCACTTCCAGCTGCGCCTACGGGTGCTTGATGGGTCACGGGCACATGAGGAATTACTGCCAGGGGATGTCCGCCAGGCTCTGGTGCCCTCACCACCTCCTGGAACGCCCTATGAGCTGTCACTTCGTGGGGTGCCCCCTGAGGGCGAGCCCTCTGCCCCTCTCATCTACCAAGGCATTATGGGTACATCCTGGATTCTGCTCAGGCCAGCATCCTGAACTTGGGGGAGGGGCTGGTCCATCAGGACTTCAGGGGTGGGATGAGGACTGACGGGCAGGGCTGGTGTTTGGGTGGAAGTGGTGGGAGAAGACAAGGAGAGAAAAGGAGTTGAGGGTTCAGAAGCAAGAGGGATGGAGGGGGTCTGAGAACAATGATAGCATGGTTTGGGGAGGGGAGTACTCCAGGGAAAGGTGGGAGGAGAAAAGGCCAAGGTTGGGACAGGGATTCAAGAAGAGAGGCTGGCGGCCCCTGGCTTTCTCCCTGTAGCTTTCTTTGCCCTGTGTCCTGCCCCTACATCCTGCTCCCTCCTCTGCCCCATAGATCTCTCAGGGTGGGTGTGGGAAGGCCTCTGGCCCTGAGGATACTGACCCTCAACCCCTCCACCCCTTCCCTTCCCCACAGCCCCC